TTGGATGGAATGGGTGAAGAAGGTATTGAAGCTAGAAATTTGATTGAAAGGATGATCGAACGTGATCCTAAAAAAAGGTAATATATTTGATTTTATTAAAAATAATTAATTACTTGAAAACATAATATTAACATTTATCATATCTATTTTTCTAAAGACCAAAAGCAGGAACAGTTATGATACATCCATATTTTTGGTCACCATCAAAAAGACTTTCATTTTTACAAGATGCTTCAGATAGATTTGAAATAGAAGTAAGAGATCCACCATCACTACTTTTACAACGATTAGAGCAAGGAGTTGAAAGAGTTATAGGTTCGGATTGGCATAAAAGAATAGATAAAGTATTTATAGAAAATTTAGGAAAATATCGAAAATATGATGGATCCAAGATTAGAGATTTATTAAGGGCTTTGAGAAACAAGGTATTTTCGAATTAGAGTTGTAATGTAACATTAACGAAATATTATTAATGACTCAAAACAAATTTTATCTCTAAAAAAAAAAAAAAAAAAAAAATAACAGAAACATCATTATCAAGATCTACCAGAACACGTAAAAAGAGCATTAGGTCAAATACCCGATGGATTTTTGTTTTATTTTACTTCTAGATTTCCAAATTTGATGTTACACGTATATTATGTTATTGCGGAATTCGAAAATTTGAGGAATGAAAGTATGTTCAAACATTATTTTGAAATACCTGGCGAAGTGTGAAATGTATATTAGAAACTTAACTGAGTTGATTTATGTTATTATTTTATTCGTATCAAAAGTATTTAAACTTAAAATGATGATATTTAATCAGATGAGAATAGATCTTTGAGGTCTGACTCAAATTTTTTGATATATTATCATCATAATAATTTATTATTTGTATTTGGTATTTCTTAGTATAATATTTGGGGTTAGATTTTTAGTGGAACAATTTACAATTTTGTCATTAAATTGACAGTTATATATAGGATGAAAAAAAAAAATTATTATTCATTTACTAAAATTAGATGGGTTAAATCGGTCATCTATAACCAATATTTAATAAATTGGTGTAGACTGTTTCATCAGCCCGTAGCCAGCTTTGAGGCTGCAAAGATGAAGGTATATATATTATCATCCTTAGTGTAAAACTATGATGATATTAATAATACCATATAAGAACAATGTAGGCTTTTAATAGGGTCTATAATTTTTATGACTAGTAGTTCTTTAATATTAAAATTATTATAGAATATCGGAAGATTTATCATTAGTAATAAGGCATTTTATCATTAAAAAAAAATGAACAATTTGAAGAGTTCGATTATACGGAAAAAATGGAAGAGGAAATAAGGACTGATGACATTATTTATATTTGGAATAGTTTTTTTGGAACTCTCCTCTCTGTTTATGCACGAATGCAAAGTGTGCATGAATAAAAAAAAAAAAATTAACACTATTAACATTTTTTTTTATTAATCATTATAGGAGTATATTTTTTTTTAAAAAAAAAAATTATACTGTATATATATGAAATGAACATTTTTGTTTTAATTTCTTAAACAAAAAAAAATAAATTTCAAAAAGTTTAAAATTTTATTTTTTATAAATGAATTATGTAATTTATTAAGACATTAAAAAATTAGTGAATAATTTCTTTGCTAAAGCGAAGCAATTATTAATATTAGGGTTGGCAATTCTGTATATAGGTACAATTGCCTCCACGAATGCTTCGAGGTACGTACCATTTCTCTTGCTGATCGAATTAGGTCAAAATTACACAATTTTGATTGGTCGATCATCAAAAAAGATTTAGTTTAAATTATAACTGGTCTCCGATACCAACAAGATTGCTGCTGAAAGAATAGATCGAATGGCCGAAATAACCAGGGAATCTTAAATAAAGAATATCAAATTTATTTTATTGTAAAACTTTTGAACTGACAAGTAAACAAACATAATTCATTACGTATAATTTCACAGTTGATTCTACATAATTCTCAAATTCTGAGACAACTGATAATATTTATAATGATCATTGGCCGCTATCTTCGGTTAATTTTTGAGTTATATGAGAACAGATTCATACAACACTTAAAACAAACAACGGGTCGAAAAATTGGCTAACCGATTCGCAATTATCAGTCAGTATTATTAATTACATGACTATCATTATTTACATTGCTGCGTAATGAACGTTTTCCACTGTAAGCCATTATATTTTATATAAAAAACATAAACATTAGCATATTTTTATTATAAGGGTTATACATCCAACCGATTTTCACCCAGATACCCGATTTCAAAATAATGCATCTGATTCGGAACTCTAGTAGAATGTAGAAGGCCGTTTAGCCAAAAACGTGGACTTATTTCCACGGATAACTCGGTGAGGAAGAGGGAATTTAAGTTTCGGATCAATGAGTTGTCTTATGTAGGGACGTCTCACCTAAAAATAAGGTGAATTATAAGCTATGAGAAAAATTAAATAAACATTTGATTAAATTATTATTACTTGAGAAGTTTTCAACTCGGCAACACGTATAATTTGAATGGATGAGAATCTAGCACGGTGACGAGCAGCCATGTCTTGATCTATTAAAAGAATTATACCGAAAATTAATTTTGTACTATTAATCAAGATTTAGATGAAACTACTTTATACTTACAACATGAGGTAACTGCATCAGTTCTATTTTATTTTAAAAGAGAATACCATCCAATTAGTTAAAATACGATAAATTCAATAACCGCTAACCATACCTAGTCAATTCTCTATATTCTTTATACATATTATGTGTACCGGAACGAGAATCATATCGAAGAAATATGCCATAATTCTTGATTCGTAATGGCCTTTTCTCAAAGATCTTTTGAAATAACATGTTTATTTAGTAATATACGGCTATTCGTTCAGAATCTTCATCCTTCATAAAATGAATCCTAATTATCACTAACTAATCCAAAACTCAGGCGTAATGAACATACCTCATTAATGGAAACGATTTCACCAGCAGCTTTTTTAATCTTTTTAAGCTTTGTTAAAAAATACCAAAATCTACTTTTTGCTATAACTTCATTAGGAGCAAAAAGTTTCATACGATAAAGACTTGGTACTGGATCTTTTTGACTTGGTAATTTGCGACCAATGACTTGATATTCATGCAACTACAATATTTTTAAGAGTAATAAGCTAATCGTAATATGCTATGATATTTAAGTTATATGATTTGCTGATTTCTCGAACCATCCAACTATTTCAGCCAGCTATATAATTGAAAAAAAGAGTGGAATACTTACTCTACCCATTTTGCGAAGAAGGAGGAAGACCTATATATCTTGGAAATGATTTATTTAAAAAAAAAAAAAAAAAAAAAAAAAAATTAATATTATCACGTGATTATTGATAATCTTTCAACACAAATTTATCGAGACAACTATCAAACTGTAAAATTAAAAATAATGTTCGCTATTCGACCTGTCGCCATTAAGTTTGCCACCCAGAGGTATGGTTATAAATGTTTATCGACTTCATAATGACGAGTTTGTCTTTAATTGAAAAGTTTAAGATAAAGCATGCTTCTAATATAGTTAAGGTCCGAATTTACATAATGTTTATTTTAGTGTCGGGTGTCAAAGTAGGAATTATGCCACCTTAAAAGAAAGTATGTTTATTTTTAATTGAATTTTTTATGGTTTTTTTTTGAAATAAGCACTGATATATTCGTATTTTATCAGTCCAACTGCGTCTAAAGTCTGTCAACAGTATTGCAAAGGTCATTCTTTGTTATTGGAAAATTTAATGGAAATTTCTGGAAAAGATTCTAAAAGTTAATATATTTAACAGATCACAAAATCTATGAAGATGATTGCATCGACAAAGATGACACGGTAAAATATTTATTTTCTAAACATGATGCGATTTTGATAATGAGAGATGTTTTATTATATAATGCTTGAAAAATAATCATTTAGTGCTCAAAAAACAATGGAAATTGCTAGAGCATTTGGCGCTACTCAAACTGGTGCGTATACTTGATATTAATATGTTGTTACAATTGATTTCATATCGAGATATCTCTGATCATATATCTTTTAGCCTTCTTTACCAATGCTGAAACTAAACCAAATGAGGAGGGAAACACTTTAATTATTACCGTATCATCAGATCGTGGATTATGTGGCGGTATTCATTCAAGTGTGTCGAAAGCTTCTCGTAAACATATAGAAGAAAAACCAAATTCGCAAATTGTTGTATTAGGTGATAAAGCAAAATCCCAACTTTCACGTACAGTTCGGAATAATATAAGGCTTTCGTTTAATCAAATTGGAAAAGCTACACCTACTTACGCCGAAGCATGTGCTATAGCTGACGTCATATTGAAAGAGAAATTTGAATTTGATCAGGCTATAATTATATATAATCATTTTAAATCGGTGATTTCATATGAAGCTGAAACGATTCCAGTATTTGCGGAATCTACGTTTTCTAAATCAGGTATTTATCTTTGTGCAGTAATATATACAGAATGAATAATACCACTAACAAGATTTTCATAATGCTCTATAGGAAACTTTGATGCGTACGAAATTGAAGATGATGTATTAGAAAACCTTCAAGAATTTGCGTTTGCAAATTCAATTTATTGGGGTCTTGCCGAAGGTCATGCTTCAGAAATGGCGTCAAAACGTACTGCAATGGAAAATGCTACAAAAAATGCCGGTGAAATGATTGATAAACTTACGTTAACTTATAATCGTGGTAGACAGGCCGTTATTACCAATGAATTAAGTAAGTATATTGAGTGGACATATGTGATATTTGATTTAAAAAAATTTCGTAATTTAAAAATATACTAATGTTTTCTTTTTTTTTTTAGTCGACATTATTACTGGAGCCTCGGCAATTTAAGTAGATTTTTTTTTATTTTTTAACCGTGATTTATTTATAGATCATCTAATTAGGTTTATCAATTCAATTGGAAATTGATTGAATTTTTGAATTAAATAATTCTTTTGTCATTTTATTATTACTTCCAATATGACCAATAAACGGATTTAATTATGCCTTATCCTACTTAGTGTATAAAATTGAACGTGCGCTTAAGATGATTGCGCACATAATTTTTATTAAATGTTTATTTAGCGCACACTATTTTTAAAACAGTATACAGTATAGAGCTAAAGTCATTTATTCAATTCTTATATATAACGCATATAAAATTTTTTGTCAATGTTTATATAGCTTATAAATTTTTGGTCCTAACTACAGTATATAGAAATATAAGAATTTGCTTTTCTTAAATACAAAATTTTTTTAAATGCAGTTTTGTGATTATTTTTTGTTTTTTAAGTAGTTGTATTTAGAAAATATTTCTATATTTTAAAGTAGTCGTAATTTAGCTTGTTATATAAATTTTTTAAAAATTTTTTTAAGTATTTAGAGAATATTATTTATATCTTAAAGTAGTTATAATTTAGCTTGTTATATAAATTTTCTAAAAATTTTTTTAAGTATTTGAGAAGAAGTTAACAAAATCCAAACAAATTGTTTTTATTAAAATTTTTTTTTGGAATTTTAAACTTGAATATCTTAACAAAAACTTAACTAATTTTAATGATTTAGTATTTATTTGAATTCTACAAACTTGAGAATTCAAATAAATACTAAATCATCAAAATTAGTTAAGTTTTTGTTAAAATATTCAAGTTAAAATTCAAGAAAAATTTTAATAAAAACAATTTGGATTTTGTTAACTTTCTTCTATTTATAAAATCATATATTAGTGATTTTAGCTAATCAAAAATTTTTAATTAGCTAAGTTAAAAAATTTATTAGCTTAGCTAGCTTAGTTAATTTTTTTAAAAATTTTAAATTCTTTGAAAATTATTAAATTTATTTATTTTTTATATTAGAATATAATAATTTTATTAATAAAATTAATTAGTTAATTTGAAAAAAAAAAGAAATATTAAAAAAGCTTTTATTACAAATTGTCTAAACTAATTCTAAAGCAAAAGAAAAATACAAAATTCATTTAAGAAATATATTAGAATATATACTAGTTGAAAAAATAAAATTTAATCTTTAATTAGAAGTTGAATTTCAAATTTTTAGTTAAATTCAGATTGAATTAGCCAAAAAATTTGATCTATAATCAACTTATAATCGATCTAAAAACTATTAATCAGTTTAAAATAAGTATCTGATTTTAGATTAAATAATTAATTTTAAAATTTGATCTAAAATCAGATTTTGAATTTAAATCAAATTTTATAACTATTTAATCTAAAATTAATCTCAAAATTTAGAAGTTGATCTTAAATCAAATATTTATAAAATTTAATCTAAATTCAGAGTTTGATTTTAAATCAAATTTTAAAATTAACTATTCAACCTAAAATCAAATGCTAATTTTAAACTAATTAGTAGTTTTTAGATTAATTATAAGTTAATTATAGATCAAATTTTTAACTAATTCAATCTGAATTTAACCAAAAATCTGAAATTCAATCTTTGATTAGAGATTGAATTTCATCTTTTTAACTAATAATATTAAAAAAAAAAGTTTATAGTAAAAAACTATATATAGTTATAAAAAAAGTAAAATATAATAATTATATTTAAGTAAAGTTTTTTGTATAAATAATATAGTATTTATTTGTATTAACTCAGATATTTAATAATACTCAAGTAGTGATTTTTTTAATAAATACAAACTCTAGTAAAATAATTTAAAAAAACTCAAAGAATATGGGTTCTTTCACAGCAAATCGGGGCTTAGAGGCGATTTTTTAATTTGTAGATATCAACGATTAATCATTTTATGCAAGTTTTGGTAATTGTGATAAATTTAGATATTTGCGTGTAACATAGTTCATGTACGTACATACGTACGAATTGCGTTATACCTAATTTCGATATGTATATCAAATTACCATTGTTGATATAATTTTAACGGGTTTAGTAATAGCGATAGCGATAGCGATAGAAAATTTAAACTATTCTAACGTTAACAGTAATTAAATATTAGCGAATTAAGCCCAAAAGCTTAAAGAATTGAATTTCTTGATAATTTAGCACGGGTTTAGTAATAGCGATAGCGATAGAAAATTTAAATTATTCTAACGCTAATAGTAATTAAATATTAGCGAATTAAGCCTAAAAGCTTAAAGAATTGAAATTCTTTGAATCGTATTAGTAAAGTAGTAACGCTAATAGTAATTAAATATTAATGAACTAAGTTTGAAAGGTTAAAAATTGTATTTTGGTAATTTAGTCTAACGTTAATAAAATTTTAATCGCTGAAATTTAAATGTACAAAATTTTAATAAACTTTTATGAAACTCAATTTGAACGAAAAAAATTATAAATTATGTCATAAATTGTAACGATTGATCTAATTTTTTATTTCGTCAGTATGATAAATTCTGAGAATTCAAACACAAATTTACACGAAGACTTAACTTTTGAACAAAATAACCTTGCTCCTTCTTTTGCCGAATTAAACTTAGAAGAATTTGATGAAACGGATGATCTTATTTGTCAGCGTGTTCAAGAATTATGGGAATTCTGGCAAAAAAACGAATGTACCTGTAGGAAAAGTAAAAAGAAAACTAAGTCATGTTTTGAAAAAATAGGATTTAGTCAGTTCTTTAAACGACAAGAAGAATGTCATAATATGACTCATAATAATTTAGATATATGGATTAAAGGACAACTTGCATCATTTGCATTTAATGATGAATTGTCTAAACAAAAAAATTCCCAAGAATTAAATAATTCTACAGCAAATAATCGTGTAAAATATCGATACCATTATAATGCTCAACATATTGTCTGCTTACCTACCTATTTAGCATTAATTGGAATTTCCTCTTCAAGGCTTGATCGAATCAAAGCACATATCAAAAGTAATGGAATGGCAGAAATATTTCATGGCAACACAGGACGTGCATCTACTAGACCTAATCGTGCTATTATTGATGATCAAGCAAAACAAGAATTAAATAATTTTCTTCGAAATTATGCTAACATTCATGGATATCCATCACCAGGCCGATATATACGAAAAAGTACTATGCCCATTATTTCACTTCCAACGGATACAACATATACTGGTGTATATGAAGAATATGTAACAACAATTAAATCTATTAAAGGTGAAGATTATAAAGCTATGGCCCTTTCAACATTTTATCAAATTTGGAACGAAATTGCACCTGATATTCGGTTCTTGTCTAAAGCGTCTGATTTGTGTGACAAATGTGAACAACTTCGTGCTAGTATTCATACTACAAATAATATTGAAATTAAACAAAAATTTCTAACAGAATATAACCTTCATCGGGCAGCTGCAACAATTGAACGCGAGTACTATAATAAAAATATTGAAATTAGTAAACAAGCAAGGTTTAATACTTTACATATTTGCTATGATTGGGCTCAAAATGTACCAATTCCCTACTTACCACGGCAACCAGGAGGTTTATTTTTTAAATCCCCATTTAATGTTCATGTCTTTGGAATTACCAACACTAGTTTGGAGCCTACAACTCAACGGAATTATTTAATTGGTGAACATCAATTACCAGCAAAAACACCTAAAGGTGCCAATACTACTCTTAATCTCGTATTTGATAGTTTGTCTAATTGGAATTCGTCACAAAAATATCTTAAAGTTACCTGTGATAACTGTGGAGGCCAAAACAAAAACAATCTTTCTTTGTGGTTTTATTCATGGCTTACTATGACTAAACATTTTGAAACGGTTGAGGTTAACTTCATGATTCCTGGCCATACTAAATTCTTATGTGATGCATACTTTGGAACAATTAAATCTCTTTATCGCAAATCTACTGTTATGAGCATGGATCACGTTGAAACTATTGTTAATAAATCAAAAAATGATGGAAGTAATATAGCAGTTAGGTATGATAGAAAAAATCATGTAGGATGGAGTTACTATGATTTTGAAACGTTTTTTAAACCCTACTTTGTTAAATGTGATGGTATACGAACATATCATCATTTTTATTTTTATTGGAATCAACCCGGAAAAGTTTTTATGTCATTAGATCCTAATGGATCAAAAAAAGAAGCTGTGATTCGTAATAATCTTTCTTTTGATCCATACAAACCTTTAGACACAGTTTCTTTAAAATCTTTAACTTTAAAACGTCAAACACAATTATTTAAAGATATTCGTCCGTATATACATGATCCATATAAAGATGAACTATGTTTTGCTCCGAATGAAAATAATGAAGATTCAGATTAAATACTATTACCAGTATATAAATGTCAACTAATAATTCGTCAGTTTCTTTAATCAAATATTGTAATAATTGAACTTTTAAAATTACATAATTCATAAAATGTATTATACCAAAAATATCTCTGCTTTCACATAATAAGTTTAAGCTTATCAGTTATAAAGATTGTAAGATACGTATTATAATTATATCCTTTCAATTAATCAACCTTGAAATTATAGCTTTATTCATACTGAAAATATTCTTTACAAAAATAAAAAAATAAACCAATTAGTAAATAGTCCGAAGATATAAAGTCATTAAATGGAGCTTACGAAAATTTTACTGAAACCCGAATCTAAAAAGGTACCTGAAAGCAAATATATGGATTTTTAATTTTATACCATAGCCGATTACACTTACTGACTTGAAATACTATAATAAAGAATTTTAAAATAGGTTTAGAAAAGTCTATACAATATTAAATAACTTGTACGTAGCACTAGTAGCTTGTACTAATTTTGCTTAATACATGTATACTTTTTTTTTTTTTTATTTAATCAACTACTCTTTTTTACCACTTTGTGTCTTGAGCCGCCAGTTGAACAAATATTCTTTACAGCGTTCTGCCACAGCATTAAAAGACTATTAAAAGGG